CCCTCCAGACTTTCCGCAAAGCCCTTAAAACCTGGCTGTTCCAACAAGCCTGGGGCTGATGAGTTCCTGTCCCCGCTCGAATGGTGTGTCTGTTGAGTTGTTTTTAAAATTGTGGTATTGTTTGTCTATGTCTTTTTCCCCCCTATTTGTATCCCCTATCCCCCACCCTGACTTGGGTTGTGAGCCGCCCTGAGTCCCTTCTGGGAAAAGGGCGGCATAGAAATATAATAAATTCAATTCAATTCAATTCAATAATTTACAAAAAAAAACAACTACTGTCATTTGGCAAAGAGAGGTGTGTCTTCAGGCAGCAGTTGTCAACATGGGTCAGAGTTTGTGGCACAGTGTATGAATGTACAGAGGTCTCTTCTGTCCCTTTGTTATAATATAATACCGGGATACAGGTAATCCTCGATTTACAACAGTTAATTTAGTGACCGTTAAAAGTTATAATGGCACTGAAAAAATGTGACTTATGACCTTTTTTCCATAGTTACGATCTTTGTAGTGTCCCCATGATCACATAATCAGAATTCAGACGCTGGGCAAATGGTTCAGACTTATGACCGTTGCTGTGTCCCAAAGTCATGGGATCATCTTTTCTGACCAGCGAAGTCAAATGGGGAAGCCAGATTGACTTAATCGGGTTACTAACTTATCAACTCTGGTGATTCGCTTAACAAGTGTCGCCAGAAAGGTCGTAAAACGGGGCAAAACTCACTTAACAACTGTCTCGCTTAGCAGCTTTTGGGCTCCATTGTGGTCAGACATCGAGGACTACCTGTAATTAAGAAGAGCATTTCTAATTTGGTTAGGACAGGGGTCTCCAACCTTGGTAACTTTTAAGACTTGGGGACTTCAACTCCCAAAGTTCCTCAGTTGGCAAAGCTAGCTGAGGAATTCTGGGAGTTGAAGTCTCCAAGTCTTAAAGTTGCCCTGAGGAATTCCGGGAGTTTTAGTCCCCAAGTCTTAAAGTTCCCTCTAGGAATTCTGGGAGTTGAAGTCCCCAAGTCTTAAAGTTGCCTCTAGGAATTCTGGGAATTGAAGTCCACAAGTCTTAAAGTTGCCAAGGTTGGAGATCGTAGGCTCTATATTAACAAAAAATAATAATATTATTGGATAAACATAGTTAATTAGGCCACATTAGGCATTCACCCTCTTTCAAACAACAATCTGTGAAAGCTTTTCATGAGGATTTAAAGGCAGAGTCGTAATCTTTTCCTGCGGTATATTTCTGAGATAAAATGTTTTGGAAGGAAAAAGATTTGCCTTTTTAAAAGCAACCTCCCCCATCTAACTTTCCCCGTAGATCATAGTTTTTCTGTTGCTTTATTTTTTGTTTTAAGCTGCCAAAAAGCCAGCTTGTTTGCTTAGAAATTGCTTGCTCTAATTGGCAGGCCAGACAGACCTCTGTGGTTAGATCAGTCTGGAAAAAACAAAATATATTTTATAACCCTCCTTTCAGGGAAGGGTGCAGAAATCTGTAGGGTGGGTTGGGAACCAGGCTGTCTCTAAGATTTCTGTGCCCTCCCGTGCTATGCATCTCCTTTTGCTATTTCATTCTTTTAAAAAAAATGAAATCACAGATCAACCAAAGTTGTTCATAGATGGAATATTCTGTGGGTGTTAAGCACAAAGAGAGCTGTGCAGTTCAATCCAGCTGATAGCTTCAGATTTTAATACGTGGGCATAAACGGTGAGATCAAAGAGGAGAGAAGGAGCTAAATTCAGCCATCGGTAATTTAACAAATGAATTATATGTCAGATGTCTTTATCAACATTGCAGAGTCACAAACATTTCTCATTTCTGGTAATCTAAAGTGGTGATTCATAAGCTTTCATGTTTCCGACAGCTCATTTTACATGATCTGGATTGTGTTGGAATAATTGATGCCAATTCCCAGAGAGACTGATGGATGACTATTAATGTTCACAAAGGCTGCAACTGTTAGAATCAAATGTTGCATTGAAACTAAGCCTCTTTGCTTTAAGAGTTCAGTGTTATGGGTCCTTCCTTGTACACAGCTGGCTAGGCTCACACATTGAACACGACAATATCAATTAAAGAGGGGATACACTTCCATTTTCACAAAGGCAGCTTGGCAAGTGTTCACTTGGCTTATGCTTTTTAACGGTTTGCTGTGCTGTGTGAGAGCCTTGGTGCTCTCTGAGTTTAGTTGTTTTCTTGCAGACGTTTCGTTACCCATCTTGGTAACACCATCAGTGTTGATATCTTCAAGAAACATCTGCAAGAAAACCACCAAGCTCAGAGAGCACCGAGAGCACCACAATTCAGCCCCATGGTTTGCTATGCTGTGTGAGGTCCTTGGTGCTTTCTGAGTTTGTTTTCCTGCAGACGTTTCATTACCCAACTAGGTAACATCATCAGTGCTGATATCTGCGAGAACCATCTGCGAGAAAACAATTATGCTCAGAGAGCACCAAGTTCAAACCGGAGCTACAAATATTCTGTCTGAATCCAGCACTTTTCTCAATTTGTGGTTCAGTGTCCCAAAGGTGCTTTTTTTCAGGAGGCAATTGGACTTTCTTGTTTTTCTTTTGAAGGCTTTTCGCTTCTCATCCAAGAAGCTTCTTCAGTTCTGACTGGATGGTGGGGAACGGAAGGATTTATATTCCTTGCAGACAGAACTGAAGAAGCTTCTTGGATGAGAAGCGAAAAGCCTTCAAA